GGACCAAGACTAGGTCTAGGCTTAACCCCTTGCGACACATCTGCTGCCGTCCGACTACTGTGTGTGATTTACATTCACTTGAACCACAACCTTTGAGAATCTCTCCACACATAGTATTCGACGCACTCTATATATCGTAGCAAATGCCGGTTTGATCTTAGCGCGCGCCCGGGCCCGCCCGCTTCAGCGAGTAATTTGTGGGTGATGGATTGAGTTTTTTTTGTAGAACCGGCCGACTACCACCCTGAATCAAAGTCCCTGATCAGAGCCGGGGTCACTGTATTACCTCGACTCTACTCAGCTGCGGCCTTCACTCGCATGCCAGTAAGTATAGCTGTGCAGTTTACCCGTTCACAGAGTGGTTTATTATGTTGGTCGCCGTTCGTTAGATCGCCGCTAGGAGCATTAGGATGAGGCGACAAGGTACGAGCGCGCTTGGTTTGTATTCTACTAGCAATTCCAGACATGTAGGAAGCGAAGTATATACTAGTACGAAGTAGACAGCACAAAATAGAGAGCACAGTGAGATAGGACAAGACAAATAGAGAGATTAGTATTGTTGCACGTACTCAAGACCAATGGATACGCAGGTACGCAAGCACAACTGGCGCGAGCCAGCTGATGCGTGTGCGTGTGCGTGTGCATGCCGCACAGAAGCAACAGCATCAGCATTTCATACTGAAATCCCTGTGTTCAGCACAATGTGTTGTAACATGAACGGAGCCTGCGGAATTTTGCTTACTGCTCGTGAATTCTCTTCTTTCTCGAGCAACACCGCTGTGATGCTCCGCATTGACATATCTCCGCTATGTCAGTCATACGCCCAATGTATGTAGTTGTAATGATGCAGCGCGCGTACCGTTAACGTGAAGAGGGACGTGTATACATTCGACTCAGTCGAAACGACTGCATCACAATCGTTGGATTCCCATCAACAAACTCTTCAGGTTATATCTTGTTCGTGATGCCTCTTGCGTACGGATCCCTCTGGCTTGCCACTGTTATGGAAGCAGCCCTAGGACTACCTGATATCCCTTTCCAGATTACTGCTGACTATCCCCCGGGTTGTTATGGAGGTCCTGGTCCAGGGGAGGGAAGCAACATCACCGATATGCTAGCGCCTTCCTGCATTTACAACACGAATGGGATATACAACAGATGCGGTTTATAGAGAAGCTGCCGGGATCATACTCAACACCAACAGGGTTGGGTATTATGACGGCATGCTATTAAACCTCACTGTGTCCAACCTGCCTGGTACCCTAAAGCCTGATATCCTGGTGGAAACGGATGGTTGGGCTCACCTGAGTGTTGGTGATGAAACCAGAGACTTCTGGTGGAACCCATCCCCAGGTAAAATCATCTACGGCCCAAAGCCTGTTGAAGTGTTTGCCAAAGTTGCAACTATCGACTCTGGTACTCTCCCTAATAACGTGAGCACTTGGAGCTCGTGGGATAGTCTAACTGGTACAGCGCACAGCGACGGGTTAAACCTAATATGTACTCACAAATGCTCTTCCAATGTACCAAATTCTGAGTTTTACACTGCACAAGAAATCCTCATGAAAAAGGTGGAAGGTGGCTGGAACTATTTGGTTATGTACAACTTTCGCGACAATTCTCGTAAGCTAGAAGATTACAACAAGTATGTGATCAGCGGAGATCTGCAGGACGTGAATATAGTGTGAATCTACGCAGTTTCATGATTCTATGCCTACCAAACGTGGCGAGTCGGTGAGATAGTCCCCTGCTCCGATGCTGTTGTCTCACGCACCGTAGATATGTCTTGGGCAATTCGAGGATTTCGGGTGGCTTTCATTACAACACCTCTCTGTTTGTCATTTATTCTCATTTTTCTATATTTTTACCCAATATTGCGTTAATGTCGTGCGCAGGAGCCTGCTCTCTCTCGCTTACCTGTATGCAGGTCTGCGCGTTGCTGTGTGCTATCCAAGTTTTTGCCGAGCGCACTCTTGCAACCCTCATAAGAGCTCGAGGAGCGCTCGAGAGGAAAGTTCTAGCTGAGCTTATCACCTTTCAATGATCATTGAGTGGCCGGTTATTGGATTGGGGATAGGAAGTATCATCGGCAATCTTCTTCAAGGTCAGAAGAACTGCAATGTATTGCCGACGGAGACGCTGCAAGACTTGAAGAGCACTGAGCTATCTGGCGCTCGTGCACTTCAGGATTTCTCTGAGATGGAATTCATGGGTTGTATCTCATGTGAGGCCCGAATCTACATCGCTCGCCGGTCTCCAGACATACTTCCTCAAGGGCTGCACTCTTTTTGTTGGATTAATGACAAATCTTAGAGAACAAGCGCAGTTGGTCGAGAAGATTGTTGACTATATTGTGATCTGCTGCTATGCTTT